TATGTATCCTTTGGGATACAGAAAACGAATGAGAGAGAGAGAGAGACTGAGTAAGATGGTGTTGGTGTAGTAGAAGTAATAGTGTTATGTGTATAGTAAAAAAAAAGAACGAACAAGGTTAACAAATAAACATGAAAGACGGGGAAGAAAAATTGATCTGGTCTCTCTCTCTCTCCTTCTCATCATTGTACATCTAGCGTTGTCCTTGAACAGATCGAGCGACATTTATGTATATGCACATGACATAATCGTTCGTCTTTTTTTTTTCTTCTATTTCAACAGTTTTGGTAAACGAACTCCTAGTAATCAATATCGGATCAATGAATGTGTTGTGCTCGAACCATCGGAAATGCTTGTTGTAAGTAGACATAATATATAATTTTCTTCATCATAAAAAAATATTAATACGAAGAAAAAAAAATATTACCTTTAGTCACACCTTGATACATTCTGTTCTGCTCATTTTTTCTCTCTTCTTTACCTTTATTTCGTTTTGTCTTTATTTAGATTGATTATCCCGAGCTCGACCATGCTTTGCAAAATACGGAATCATTGAAGCATATCGTTAGTAAACATAATCGTCAACAAGAACAAGCTATAACTCTAGTAGAAGAACAGCATACTTCTATTATGGATTCTGGTACAATACCGACGATTAATCGAAAAAAAAAGCATACAAAATCGACAGGTAAAAAAATAACCTCTATTTACATGTAAAAATAAATGCATGAAATTTTGTTGATTTTTTTCTTGTATAGCGATCTGTAACAGTTGGCAATATGAATGATATACATTCATCGATGATTCGTAGTTCACATTCACGTGCTAGTGATACATCAAGTGCTTATTCTGGATCAGATCTTATGCAATCATCAACAAATGGTGAAGATTGTTTAATGATAAATAATGGGGAAAATGGTCTAGGACAAAATGATGATGTTGGATTAAGTCGTTGTTTAAGTATTCATGAAAGTGATGATGAATCTGAAACATCATCTGAAGTAAATGTTTTAATAGATTTTGATTTTCTAAAACAAAAATAATAATTGTTCGTTTAGCATTCATTTCCTATTCATGATCATATACGAGAAGTTTTAATGAAAGAAGCCAGTGATCGTACTGATGATGATATTGAAGCTATTTTAGAATTTCTTCTTCATTTTCCTGTAAATATATTTTATTTTTTTTTTGTTTGCTAAAATGAAAACTAACTAATTAATAGGCATTTGCAAATTTAACATTACATGTTCGACGTGAACTATGTAAAGTCCTTGTCTATGCTCAAGTTGAAAAAGCTCAAACTATTGTTATGAATGATGGTGAACGTTATGATTCTTGGTCAGTTATTATAAATGGTACTGTTGATGATGAAACAGTTGATGGAGAACGTATACGTCGATTAACCGTTGGAGAAAGTTTTGGTTGTGGCCCAACACTTGATCAATATTGTCATACGGGTATCATGAAAACTTGTGTTGATGATTGTCAATTTGTTGTTGTGGCTCAAAATGATTATTATGCAATATTAAATCAAGTATTTAATCTTTTATAAAAAAAAAGAAAATTCAATGAATTTTGTTTTTAGGGAGAAAAAAATATTCGAAAAATTGAAGAAGGTGAACGAACTGTTATGGTTAAAGAAATACGAATTGATGATGATGAATATCGTATACCACGTGAAATAGTTATAAAGGCAACAACTGAAAAATTACTTGACTTATTAGTTGATGAAGATCAATTAATTGATGATCCTTATTATGTTCAAGATTTTCTTTTAACTTATCGAACATTTATTAATGATCCAATGATAATAGCCGATAAATTACTTCATCATTTCGATGAAAATATTAGTTTACAGTCATGTGTACATATTGCACGTGTTGTTTTATCTTGGGTTAATAATCATTACAATGATTTTGAAACAAATACAAAACTATATGAATTTCTTGAAATATTTGATGATCGATTACAACATCATGAAACAGAAGTAAAAGAAATTTGATTTAGATTTTATTTTAATTTACTGTTTTTTTTTTGCTTTAGGAAATTCGATCGTGGAGATATTTAATTGATTTAGCTTGTTTTACAAAAGCTAGTCGACGTTATGTTACAATAACACGATCAACACGAGATGATATTTT